TAAAGATATTCTACTTCGAAAATATTAAATTACTCAAAAAAATATTTTCCACAAATCGTTTCATTCAAAAATTAATCATTTTATATATTTTTATACATGTATGTTAATTTATAATTTTTTTAATTCTTACTTCAATTTTTGCAATAGAACATAATTTTGTTTTTTGCTATCTTTTTATTTTTTTTCATATGGATATTCTATATATATAAAATAAGAAAAATAGCAATGTACAAATATAAAATTTTGTCTTTACTAACATAAAATAAATTTACGAAATATTATTTTTAACGTACATTTTATTTAATTTTATTAAAATTCTTCAAAATCTTCAATTTTTGTTTTAGTAAAATTGGAAAGTACACAAGTATTATAACAATGTTAGTCAATTTTTTTTTAACTTTTTTCATTTTATTATGCTATACATTGGTCCAATGTAATCGAATGTACGCTGATGTGATTTATTATTGTTGGTCACATAACTCGAATAGTTATAGATTTTTATAGATTTTCTAAGTTAAAGAACATTGTATCAATATCCCATGTATACAGTCGGATATAAATAATAAATATGAATAAATATTGATTAAATATTGATTTTTATATTCTTTAAGATTAATTATTTTTTTCAATTAATTATTTAAAAAAAAGTAGAAATTAAGGATTCATTAATTTTTCTTCTTTGATTAAAAATTTTTTTAATTTTTTTAATTTTTATTTTTATTTTTATTTTTATTTCTGGAAAATATATATTTCAATATTCTTTATTGTATATATTTTGTATGGTTGACTTCCTTTTTACATTATATTTTTTTCAAATTTAATTAACTTTTTTTATTTTAAATATTATTTTTAATCTTACATTTTAATCTTTTTAATTTAAATAATTTTCATATTAAATTAATTATAATAAATTATTTTTATTATATTTTTACCAGGAAAAACTCTAAATTTAAAAGTATAAAAATTAATTAAAGTATATATTATATAAATATGTATAAATATTATATAAATATATAAATATATATTATGAAATATATTATATTTCAATTTTTATGCGGTTGAAGTGAATACATTATTTGTCAATCATAAAGTTGTTAAAATTTAAAGACGAATTACTGCATCATAATGCGCAATTTATAATGGAAAATTGTAGTGATAACTCATTTTATTTATAATTATATAGAATTTTTATTAATCATTTTTATTAACATATCATATATTATTAAACTTAATCATAAATTATATTACCCTTATTATATCATAAATTATATACCCTTATTTAGTTAATACATATTTGTTTAATCATTACTATACTAAAATTACACATGTATGTGATAGATTAAAAATTTGAAGGAATATGAAAAGAATTTTTAAGATAGATAGAACGTTTAAAATATTTTAATGCTGTATTTAAATTTGATTCAAAATGTTTTCTAAGAAAATTGCATAAAAAAATTTGATTAAATAAAATATATTTAAAATTAAGTATATTTATAAGAATTTAATTAAATAATTTAAAAAATTTAATAAAATAACATATTGTAAATAAATAGATAATTAATGGACAAAATAATAATAGTACTTTGTAGGAAATGCATTTTGCTTATTTTTTTTTTTTTTTTATTCTTTTTATGTTTTTAACTATCAATTATTTTTCACTTTCATGATAAAAATGCAAACTATTAATAGAAAATCTTTTAATTTGGATTTTATTTTCAGATTCTTCCATTTCGGTTTCCTTATAACTTTTTTTTATTACTTACATTAAACAGCGATCATAAATTTAGATATTTTACCAAAAGAAAAATTTATTTAAAAATAAATAAATTTTCGTGCAAAAAAAAAAAGATAAATAGGATCTCATAGTTGACATGTATTTCCAACTCAGCAATCTTCAAGCAGGGAGATCTAGAAATCATATTATTTAATACATAATCATTTAATACATAATCATATCATTGTATAAATATGAATAGTATAATTATAATATAATATATTTTATAAGATAAAAGCTAATTATAAAGTAGCACAATTATATATTATAATATATATATTATAATATATTTAATACATGCATTTCAATAGGCAGCATAACAATTGCGCCCATATTAATTCCATCCCATTTATTTTTTTCCCATCTATTCCCAATTAGAATTTAACATTCTAATTTCTTATAAATTTATATTTGTTTGAATAAGACAAGTTGATAGATACAAACATATATTCATGATCGACATATGGAAAAGATAAAACGGACTCATAAACCGTATATATACGTATATTCCTACATAGTAGGAAAAGATTAAAATTTTCAATTAAATTTACAAAGAACCATATAAATTGACTCTGACCGTAATATTTTACAGCTAATAATATACAGCTATATTTATATAATTATATAATTTTATATAAAATATTATATAAATTATATATATATAATAAAATAATAATAAATTTATATAATATATAAATATTATATAAAATTATATAATTTTACAGCTATATCAATAATTGCTAATATCAATTACTTTTTTGAATGAAAAACATTGTTTTCTTTATCCTGATTCATCTGATTCATTTAAGAATATAGATTGATTCTATATTTTGTCTGTATCATAAGTATAATACTATAATAACTCAATAATGTTATTGGTAACTTTTCCACTCTGATTGACGCGCATTGTACTTTCTTCTGCAATATTACAGAGAAAAATTTATATATTTTTCATTCTTGAATTCGTAGTCATAGTTATCACAGCAATATTTTTATAAAATAAATAATTTTTAAAAAAATATATCATTGTATTGAATGATAATAATTGGTTACAAGATTAAGAATCTTAAGAGATTATTTAGAATTATTTTCAATTACTCATAAAAAAATTTTCCGGTAAGTAGAAAATTGTAATATCCATATATAATATATTGCTATTAATAAAAATTTATATAATGATTTATAATTAACTACCAACATAGAAAAATTAACTAGTAGAAACATAATCGATTTAGCTACATTTATGATGGAAGAATTCGAATCCATATGGAATAAGATAAGGAAAATGCAGGCTAATCAAAGAAACTATCGTATAATAGCATTACATGTAAAAAATATAAAAGAGCAATGAGATTTATTCATCAAAACACATTTAATTCATACAATTATCCAAATTTTCTCAATGTAAGAAAATGTTTTATGCAAAAATATATTCCAATTTTGGTTGCAACAGGAGGAAATATGTTCAACATAAGGAAAATTTGGACATTGAAAGAAATGAGTAAAAATAAATAAATAATAAATAATAAATAAAGAAATATAAAATAAAATATCGAAAATAAATTACCGTATATTAATATTAAATTTCAATTTTCAAAATAAACAAACAATATATCTTGAAAATAAATAAATAAATCAAAAATATTTATTTTCTTACTAAAAATATGTTAAATTTTATTTTTTTTGTTAAATTTAGATTTATTTCTTCTAAAAGATATTCTATTTCGAAAATATTGATGATTTAAGTTATTCAAAAGAATATTTTCGTTCTACAATCATTTAAAAAATTAATTATTTTTTTTATATGTACATATGTTAATTTATAATTTTTTTATTTTATTTTAATAGAATAGATCAATAGATTTATAATATTATAGTATTTATAGATTTATAATATTTATAGGATTTGTTTTATGCTATTTTTTTATTTTTATTATATATATTTTATACATAAAAGTAAGAATTAGGATATTAGTCTGCAAATATAAAATTTTGTTATTACCAATATAAAATAGAACTACAAAATAATATTATTTTTAAGATATATTTTATTTAAACTGAATTAAAATTTTTTGAATTTTTTTTTTTTTTTTAGTAAAATTTTTAGTAATTTTTAATAATTGTTTTTTTAGTAATTTGATTATATAGTATATTCATATAATTTAAAAGATCGATTTGTAAATTCAAAATAAACATAAAAGTTGATGTATAAAAATAGTAATTAAAATTTATTTATTTATTAATTATATAATAAATTATTTATTAATAATAAATAATTTAAGTTAAAGTATGATCTTCATCAATATTCATAAATTATTTGTGAACAATATGAAAAATAAATTTCCTAGAAATTGTTTGTTTGCAAATTATTCATAATATAAAGTTAAAATATTGTATGACTTACCAGCAATTCATAAACATCATTTATATTTCATAACTAGCACATAATTTTTTCGCAAATAAATTCATATTTATGAAATTTTTCTTATTAAATTTTTTTCAATAACATTTTTGTAAATTAAATGAAAATATATAAATAAGAAAAAAAAATAATATAATTTAAATCATGTATAATTAACTATAAGCAAATAATATACAATTTTTTGTAAATCTCTAATTCATGATTTGTAATTCATGATTTCTTTGATTTGATTTTTTTACAAATCTTGATTTTTAATAAATTTAACAATATTTTTTTTTTTATAAATCTTGATTTTTGAAGAGTAGAAAGTATACAGTAAATATAATTAACGATTTCTCTGGAACTGAAGAAACTAAAGATTGGTTTTCAAAAATTGTTCATGAATTTAAGGCGCATTTTCATTAATAAACAATTCGCGAATATTATTCACAAATAATATTGTTCACAAATAATCCGCAAATTTTTTATAATTATTACTCAAATTTCCTCAAACATTGCTAATAGACCTAATATTCATAATATTTTTTTGTGTTATTGTTTATGGACATTTTAATATCATTTTCAACGTTACCGATAGAACAAGATTGTAACACTAGTAGTGGTCAGAATTGAAACTAAATATCAATTACAAATGAGATATTTAAAATAAAATGATTTATCTACAATCAGTAAATTATTATTGTATCTACATTGTTAGATGGCGTTTATAACTCAAAATTACGACATTGTCAATGATCGGTTCTTGCGATACGACATCTTGTGACTGCCTGTCGTTGTAATACTATACTTCTTGCACGAGTCGCATTGGGATTGTAGATGACTGATGTTCGATTAGTGAGCATGTTTTCCATATCTTGTCAAAAAGTGTTAGAATTATCAGTGTACAGTGCATCTAATAACGTCAAATATTCTTAAAATCATAATTATTGATTCATCTATCATGAATGTGTTCTTATAATTTACGTTGTGTAACAGATCTAGGATTGCTAGATTAGTAAGTATTCGTAGCTATGTTCAACTTTTATACGCGATAAGCCCGCGTGGCATGAATTAACACTTAAATCAAATCTTTTTCATTTAATTTGTCTGCGCTTTTTATTCTAATTAATAATTCTAATAATTATATACATATTAAATGATAGAAATTTCTGAAAATTTATATCAAATGAGGATTCTATTATAATTTCAAATTCATATCTGAAAAGTAAGATATGGTTTCGTTACTGATTTAGTTACTACTTTCTAATTATTAATTACTTCCCGTTCACATGATACGTCATTAGAAACTTGCAAAATCAGTCATTGGTACAACGACAACTTCATTTACTAATTACTTAATTCTTAGTAGTTATGTGTATATATTTGTTCATTTATATTTTATAAAAACTTGTTATAGAATGATTATATAACAGTTATCAAATAGTTAAAATGTATTTTGTAAATAAAAATAGTAAGTGTAGAATTTAAAGTTATTTAATAATAATTTAGCAATACAAGATAAATTTTAACGTTTCCAATATACATTTATTTCTTAGTAAAAATAAAATTTTTTTAAAAGCAGTTTTAGAAAATAATATTGTTTTTATGATTTTAAAGATGATGTGGACGCTGCATAATGCTGCATGATGTTCTTGAAATAGATAGACAGAGAGAAAGAGTCAGAAGATACAAAATGATCGATTTATTTCAATAGGTCTTTCTCTGCTCTAATTCATATCCGTTGAATATGAATGATACAATAATATAAAATTATATAAATTATTTTAGTTATGTGGCAGAAAACATTAATAACATTAATAGAATTCTGTAATGAATACGTTATCGCTGGCGAATATCAAAATTTTATATTTATACTTTCATACATTATTTCGTTATGTGGCATATTGTATAAATATAAGCAGTTGCCTTTCAATAAAATCATACTAATCTTGTGCGATAACAAATTTAAAGCATATATTATAAAAAAAAGATAAGCAGAAAGCAGATTAACGTTGAATAGATTGATTATGATCAAATATTTTTAAAATATCGTCGATAATATATTTATTTACATATTAATAATATGGGATCAATAAAATATATTTGAAATAGATTGATAAAATATATTTAAAAAAGCAGTTGATAAGACAATATTTATTTATATATAATAATTTGGATTTATAAAAAATACATTTTTAAAATATAAACTTGACAACTTAATTTTGAATCAGTATCTTATAATTTTCTTCTTTTAAATAAGTAACTGTTAAAAAGAAAAAACATTTAAAAATATGATAAAGAATTTTTAATTAAATCAAATAATCATATTTATTGAAAAAACTACATATCTATAATATATTTTTTATATCTATTTTTTAAAGAATAATATTTATAAGAATGAATTAAAATAATTTAATTTTCGTGATATCAATTTTATTTTATATTTTATATAATATGCACGCAATTAACCTTATTTTATATTTTAATAAATATGCATTCATATTTCGATTGTTCGAAATTATGAAATCATGTTTTTATAAAATATTAAAACATAATTTTAGTATTCATTTTTAAATTTTAATTTAAAATTATAATAACGATATAAATTCATTGAAAGTTAAACTTTGTATTCGTTACAAGTTGCAGTTAGTGAATGCATTTTTTAACGTTCTGAATACGTTTAACAAACAATCAAAAAAAAAATTCTTATGATAATGATTATATATATATGTATCATTTTTTAGATATCTCATAAATTTGTTTTATAAATATTTTAAATTCATTAGAATCAAAAAAAATTAATTCAAAAACGAATCCAGTATAATCGATAATACTTGAAATGTTTATATGTCATTTATAAAGAACACGTTTAAAATTAGAATCAAATCGAACAATTTGATAAAAAAAATTGAAAAAATACTTTATATTTTTTAAAACTTAATTCAAATTATTAACATAACTTATTAAAATATTTTATAACATAATTTAATTTGATTATAATTTTTTAAAGGAAGAGTGCTAGAGAACAGAGTGAATCAAATCAAATTTCGTGTCGATCGAGAGATTTATGTCAAGGTCTTTTGGAACTATTACCCAATTTTATCATAAAGAAAATATAGATATGCAATTTTTTTGTTTTTTTTTGAAGAAATGTACATTATTTATATATTATTCTATAATAGTATTTAATTATTTTAAAAAAATATATGGTAATATAAAAAAATTTATTTCAAAGACTATATAAAAAAAATAACATATATATATAAATAAAAGTTATTTTCCTAATGAATTTTAATAAAAAAATCTTACTAATACTGAATAACCAAAATTTAATAAATAACAAGAAACGAAATAAAAAGTTTTTAAAATATTTTTCAATAAAACTTTATTTTATTAAATAATACCTTATATTCTTTTTATTATTTGTATATGTAGATTAAATTATGATATTTGATTAATAATAATTTGATTTTCTTAAATATTTGACTTTATATTTAAATATATATATATATATATATATATAATACTATTTTTTTATTATAATTTTATAAAGTTGAGAAAGAGAGAGAGAGAGAGAGAGAGAGAGAGAGAGAGAGAGAGAGAGAAAGAGAGATTTAAAATTATTTTTTATTTTTATTCATAACATTTTTTTTTCATTTTACAATGAATTCTTTATTTAAAATAAATACAATATTAAGTTTTCTTAATAAAAAAAAAGTAAAAAGTAAAATTATAAAAAAATTAAAAAATAGAAAAAAATTACAAAGAATTAATTTTAAAAATATGGAATAATGTAATAATGTATGATTTTTCTATTTTTTAAATTAATATTAATTTTTAAAGATATATTATTATATTATATTGTTATATAATAATAATATAATATATAATAATATAATAATAATATTATATTATATAATAATATAATATAATAATAATATTATTATATATTATATATTATATTGTTGAATTTTTATGAACGTTAATAATCTCATACCAAGATAAATTAGTTATAATAGATAATAAACAAATCTGTTACAAAAAAAATAGAAGTTCTATTAAAATGAATAATTTAATATAATAAGTTTTTATGGTATAAGATCAACATTTATCGAATAATAATAATTTTCTGCATAATATTTAGGAATAAATAAAGTTTAATAAAACAATTATTATTTAAAAAAATTATTTAAAAAAATTTTATTTTAAGTTGGAAATATTTTATAAATTATTTTAACATTGAATATGTAATATTTATATAAATAGCTACATTTTATTATTTAAAATATTTGTTATTTAATTTTTCTGTATAAATTATTTTCTGTAAGATTAATTAGTAATAAAATACTTTTTAAATAGAAATTAAAATAAAAAAAAATTAAAATCTCTGAACTAAGATTTTCAAAACTATTATATAAATATATAAATAATATTATATATATATATAAATATAAATATATCTTGAATTTTTTTATTTAATGAAATGAATTATTAGAAATATTAACTTTATTAGACTTAACTTAACAAATTAAATTTCAATTGTGAGTTTCTTACAAAAAAGTGAAGGAGAGTGTATAATATTTTTTTTCTTTTCTTTAATAAAATGTAATATTAATTTAATTATTAAATAATAATTTTTGATTGTTCAGATAACTGTTCTCACCAACATTTATTTCAAATATTTGTTTTTTTATATTTAAAAAATTATTAATAATATTTTTTTCAAAGATAACTTTAAGAAGTATTAAAAGATTTCAAAACAAATGTTATTTATGATTGAGATTTATTTTATTATATATTCAAAAAATTGATTACTCCAGTCTTTCGTCCAAATTAATCTTGAAGCATCTTCATTTTTATAATACTTTATTACCTTTTATGATTTTCAATTCACATAATTTTTCTTTGCATTTTTTTTGATATGGATTATATCATTATATGATGCTTTGCATAATTTTATAAAAATATCTTAATATATATATTATATAATATTATATAAAATTATTATAATATTATATAATTATATAATAATTATATAAAATTCAATTATTTCTATTAAAGATTATGAATAATTAATGATAATTAATAATAAAATAAATAATAAAATTATATAAATTCAAGGATTATTCAATATTATTCAATTTAAGTTTGTATTGTATTTTAATACAAATTATTTTATACTTTTTTTCATTTCTATATATATTTTATTTGAAACATATTTTATAATTATTTTACAATAAATTCTTTTCATAAACAAATATGACAAATTATTTTTACACATAATTTTGTGATATATAAATTAGCAATTTAAAAATATTTTATATTTGCAAATATCATTTGTATAAAAGTCGAGATTCTGATTTATTATAGAAACAAGTTATTGATTTTATAATATAGCATATATATATATTATTGCTTTTATGTATTTTATTTTTTATTTTTTATTCTTTCACATTAAATATATTTCTTTTGAAATAGAGAAATATTAAAAGTATTATTTTTTTACAAATTCTGTAGTTTGAATCTCTATAATTTTATAATTTTATCCATTGTCTTTTTTACCCTTGTTTATTTTTAAAAATGTTTACATGTTTAAAAACAAAATAAATTTATTTCAAGTTGAATTATTTAGATTATCTTATTTTATCTGTGCAATTTAGAATAAAGTGACTTTTACAAGTTGAAATTTAATGTAAGTGAAACTTTTATTACCTTTAAAGTCTTTATAACTATATTACGTCTACAAAATAATTGACATAATTGAGTCATAATCTACCAGTAATTAAAATTAAAAGACTATTCGATATCTTCTTATCTTGCAATGCTAAAAAAAAACCAAAGATAACATTTACGAATTTTTCTTCCTTCAAATTATTTATAATTGAATAAATACAATATTCTTATAATATTCTTATAATTTTATATGTTGAATTTTCTTTTTTTAAAACTTTTTTATTTGAAAATGTTGATAGAAAAACTTTTCGTAACTATTTGATACTTTTTCCTTGAAATTCGACTATATGTATACATAGAATCAATCACAAAAATATTTGTACTCTATATTAGAGAGAAATTCATCCAAAAATTCTGACTTTATAAAAAATTTATATGTATAACATAATATATGTGTATAACATATTTAAAAAATTCATAATATAAAATTTTAATATTTTATATTTCTAACAAAATTCTTTAAGAAATTTATGAATAATTGATTAATGCGATAATTAAAAATTATCAATTACAAAATGTTATTTCTATTGATTTTAATTTTTGATCGAAATATTAATTTGTTTTAATATTATAAATAATTTTTTATTTAATATATTTTTAAAATATTTTTTTCTTTTTGAATGTTTAAAATAGTTTTAAAATTAATATTTTAAAACTTAATAAATTAATAAAAGTTTTAAATTAATAAATTTTTAAATTAATAAGTTTTAAATTAATAATTAATTTTTTTTATATTTTCAAACTCTCTAATACGACAATTCAATTTTTAATTAATATTTAATTTCTTTATTCTATCTATATCTATTTTATATCTATCTAATCTATATATCTATTCTATATATATTCTATATATCTATTCTATATATCTATTATATCTTATATCTAAATTCTAATAATTTACATATGCTATTGTCATATATTCATCTCAATTAAATTTTTTTTATTTTTGAATTATTTTAAAGAATTATTCAAATATTATCAATTGCTGTAATAAATGTTACAATTTCAGTAAAATAATAAAATAATTAAAAATTAAAATTGCCAAAGAGAAACATTGATCATGAAAAAGATATTAAGAAAAAAATATATAAATAAAAATATTAATTTATATTTGATTTAAGTTAATTATAAAAATTATTTTACATTGTTTTAAATGAAAACGAAAAAATATTTTCTACGAATAAATTTTTATTATGTGAGTAAATTTACTAATATATATTTTGATAAATCATAATGAAATATTATAAATTTTATTATGTTTCTGTTTTTATATTTTCAGATTTTAAAATGAAAATATTATAATTTATGCTTTTTATTTTATAAAAGTTATATTTAAATTTATCGACAAAATTTTACAATACTTACAATTACAAAAACTATATAATCATAAAAAATCTTATTTAATTGAAAAAAATAAAATCATCAATATTAATAATGATTATAATAATAAATAATAATTAATAGTCAATTATTAATCATCAATTATTAATTTTTATTAATTTTTAAAGTTTAACTTTATAATTATAATTTATAATTTTATTTGATGTAGATTTATATAATATCTGTATCATATATCTCTTATATTAAGTGATTATTATTATGGATCAAAATATATTAATTTGAGGATGCACTTCAATGAATTTTATGACGACTGAAAATTTTAATAAATAATCATTCCAATTAGTGATTAAATTGACGATTATGTGTCTGAATCATTAATTGCAATTATATATTAATTAAATAAATATTTAACTTAATTAAGTAAAAAGTATGTTTTAATCTTAAAAAATAATTATTGATTGCATTAACGATTGTAATATATATAAAAATTAAAAATGAAATTCAATTATAGCTTCTATTCATATAAATATTTCTTTATATTCAAATACTTCAATAGTTACTTTTAGCAATTTTAAAAATATATATTCTTCTTATATTTCTGATAAATTATTCTGTTTCTTTTTTAATTATCTTAATCTATTAATATCTTCAAATTTTTATTCTTTATATATTTAAACATTTTATAAATAGAATACAAACTATCTTTAATGATGATCAATGATATTCAAAATTCTGATTACAATTATTTATTGATCTATTTAGAAAAGTGAAATATTTTTGTGTGAAAAATATACTACAAAAATTTTAAAAATGTAATATGAATTTTCTTGAAATCTAATTAGATGATTATTTATTTTAATTATATTTAAATGTTTAATTATATTAAATGTTTAAATATTTTAAAAATTTCAAATGAAATTTAGATTTACAATTTTTACAATTAAAAATCCTATAAAAAAAAAACAAATAAAATAAGACAAATAATATTTTTTGTAAAATAGATAATAATAGATGAAATATGATTAAATATAATATAAGAATTTAATAATAATAGATATATAAAGAATATTTACTTCTTACAAAAAAAAATATCTATAATGACGAAATAAATAATAAAAAATTATATATTTACAAAAAAAGAAAATGTTTAATTTAGATGATTTTAGTTATTTTAATTATCTACTATCTCTATGATTATTTCTCATGTATTATTTATGTATTTTATGTATTATATTATAGAAAAAAATAAAAGATAATAACATAATAACAATAACATTTAAATAAATGATAAATAAATAGACATTTAAATAGTTATTAATTGTTGTAGAAAAATTGATATCACGCTTATATAAAATCAAATAAATAGTTTTTTTTCATTTAATAATAACAAAATTAGAAATACACGTTATTTAAATATGTTTTGTGATAAAATTATAAAATAATTATGATTTTAATGAATTAGCATGATTTTATCATTATCATATAATTATATCAATTATATATAATTATCTTTAATAATAATAATAATTTTTTCTATTATTATCAAAACGCATCTTTTTAATAAATAATGTATTATTTGATGTATTATTTATCTTGATTATATTAATATTTTGAAAATTTCAAATGAAATTTAGATTTATTACAATTAAAATCCTATAAAAAAGAAACAAATAAAATAATATTTTTTGTAAAATAAATGAAAATAATTCATAGAATTTTTATTTATTTTTTAATACTTTTATTTTTGTTTTTAATTATTTCGATCATTCTTTTTGATAATAAATATATATTTATAGTTTTTTTATATGGTTTCAATTGATAATATAATATTTTTCCATATTTAATATTAATCAATATTAATAAACGAANAATCTCAATAAAATATATATTATGATATTATGATAATATATTATGATTATGATATAGATAAAACTAATTTAATAAGGAAAAATAAAATAAAAACGAATATTAAAAATTTTATTAAGATAAAAATATATGGTATTATTTTTAAGTCAATTAGAAATATAAAATATAAATATGTTTGAAAATTTTATTTTTTAATTTTTAATTAAGAAATAATTATTTAAATCTCTATAAAAAGAAATAAATATTCAACATTAGATATAAGAAGGAATTGTCTTACAAGAATTACGTATTTTATATAATATACTTGTTTTTATCATCGAATTGCTATTAAATTTCGTTATCTTAACAATATAATTACTTACCAATTACTTTACATTATATAATTCATCAACTCACGTTTTCCAATTCCTTAAATAACGTTCTCCAATCTTAAATAACTTAACTTAATTTTATGAAATATTTACATCAATTGGAAATTTTTACATAATAATTTCCGACAATAATTCTAAACGAGAAAAATCCATTAGAAAGAAAAAATCCATTAGGAACTTATAAAATGATATGCCATATATTTTTCTATGAACAAAGTTTAACGGAAGTTTGATTTCCTCGCACAGGAATTATATGAAGTGATGAGGTAAACTGGATCAGTAGGAGATGGCTCGTCACGGCAGCGAAAGATCCTTACATTCCTCTCAATCGATGCATCCAGGCTCCTCAGTCCGCTTAAACACGAACGAATCACCCACAACGGAGTTAGCACCGTCAGAGCCAGTAACATGTTCTGACAACAGCAGCACGATCAAGGTCAATGCCGATAACAACGTGGTTTACACGACAGGAAGTGCACCGGTCACCGTTTCGTCACCCTCGATATCATCCTCGATATCCTCTTCATTGGATTCCCGTATTCCACGTCCCTCGCCTACAGGCCTGCGTCGGTCGGCTAGTATGCGCATGCGCGGTGAACGACTTTCACCGAATAACCCACCATCACTACCCAGTACCGCGGCCACCGCGGCTCTGAGTAGATCTTATCATCATTATCGTCGTTTTAATCTCCTGCACCAGCAGCATCATCATCTGGACCATCGCACTTTTCCAGTCATCACGGAGAATGGAACTGAATCACCTCGACAACGATCTCTCGTGAGTATTAACTTTTAATATGTTCAATATTAATCACGATTTATTTTTGTTATTGTTCTATTCGAGAGATGTGGTTTCTTAGTTTTCCCCGCAATATTACGTCGTATTCTTCGATGCAGATCACAGATGCGTTCTGACAATTGTCTTATTGACTATTTTTGGCTAGTTCTTATATGAGTTTTAATATAACGATAATAATGGTATTAAAAATGGAATTGATAATAAAAAAAAAAAATATATATATAAAAATATATGTACGTATATGTTTGAAAAAAATAAAAAAATTATTTTCTTCTTTTAAAAAAATTATCAGAGAATTTACCGTTGTCGAAATAACAACATATTATTATTTTATTATCCATAAAATTGATATAAAGAAATAATGTTTAAAAATAAAAATATTTTTGTTTGTAAAAATAGTAGTAAATGCATATCTAGTTATTATTATATTTATGACTATAATAGTATTTTGTTGCATGTAAACTTAGTATACACATATAGAAATATAATATATAAGAGATATGACTTTTTATTTTAAATTTTACAGTTCGATATTTTTATTATTATTATTAATTTTTTTTAACATTTACACATATTTACACATAAAAAGCACTTTTCAATAATTACAAAATCATAATATCTTTCATAAAATTTTATTTTAATAAAATTGATATAATTTTAGTATGTAAATTATTTAATAATGAGAATAATATTAAGTAGTATTAATAACTAAATGATAATAATTTCAAAATAAGTATTGTAAAATTTGTAAAATTTATAAAAATACAATTAATACACATATGCATTAAAGTTTTATTTTTAAGTTTAATAAAAATTTTCAAAATTTATAAAATGTTTTCAAAATTTATAAAATGTTTTCAAAATGTATACTTTAAGCCTCTCTCTCTCTCTCTCTCTCTCTCTCTATATATATATATATATATATATATATATATATATGTATGTATATATAATAATATGTTAGCTTTCAATATATATAAAATAACAAACAACAAAAAAAGATAGACTATTTTTTAAATAAGTTTATGTCACGAAGTTCGAATCACTCAAATAAGAGTAAATATAGGCAATTTGCCAAAACCAATTTTCATTTGATATCACAATTTTTAAAATATTTTCAATCCATTTATTGGAATTTGTATACGTTGAATCATTATTAAATAATCATTATTAAATAGTTTTCTATTTTCTCTAGCCTCAATAACAAATAATTATACCATTAAGAAATCAAATTTAATTCATTAGGATTAATCTACTTTTTAAAAAAAATTAAACAACGATTATACATTCTTACAGTTACTAACATTAAGAATTTTTAAATGGATATAATAAATATGGATGTAAATAATAAATATGTAATAAAAATGGATATAATGGATATAATAAAGTGGACTGAATCTTTGACTTTTGTCGTGAAAAATACAACAATCCTTATATACATATACACACGTATATTATTTTTTCATCAAACATGAAAGTAAGAGGACACGTGCAAGCATGAAAAGATGTCTCGTGCTTAGCTAAACAAAATTTGAATTATTAATTGTATTTAGATTTAAGTAGATCCAAGATAAGCAACGAAATATAGAGACATTCTGATCTTTATGCAAGCTATGCATCAGCGCAGATGAAACCTCTTCATTGTTTTTAGATCATATAATACTGCTAGTAAAACGATTATGCATTATATTTATCGATGCTTAATCCTGTAATCGATCGATTACATCTAATAATTAAATTACTTTTTTTTTTTCTGAATAAAATAACGAGAAAAGCAGAAAATAATTCAACAAAATCTTTATTTATTTTTACGTTCATTTCGAAAACGATTTTCGTTTTTGTCAGGTTATTGGTAAAAGCATGTTATAGTAATAGAAATAAAATAGAAATTCATACAAGTCCTCTAGCGAGTTTTTGATTTTAACAAAATGTCATTTCATTTTCTATATTATATATTCTGTGTATATTATATTTATGATATAGAACTGTTTATTTTGTTCGTTTTGTTTGTTAATAAATAAAATCGATAAAAGTTTACGTAAAAAATATATACAGTGTTTCTGAAATCAATATAAGCGAACAAGAAATAATTTTAACAATGAATCGAAAATATAGAATAAAATTTTGTTATGTAAAACTCCAGAAAATTTGAAAATTCATTGAATACACGTTTGGATGCATTTGCAAGAAATATTTCAATTGATAATGAAATTTCATAAATTTTTTTATATAAAAATTACGAAAACTAAAAAATATCATCAAAAGGTTCATCTGCTGTTATAATAATATGAAATAATTTATTCTGAGAAATCGAAATCTATAATTTGAAAGTATTCAAATGAGTGAAAAATTTGAATATAACAAGTTATAATAGATTGGTGCTTCTCTAATTTGTCAAGTAAGATATTGAGAGCTCATTTTCAACACTTAATAAACTAAATTAAAATATTAAAATTTGTATTTTTTATTCTTTAAAACTATATTTATTAGCATTGCTCGTAAGTGTAACGAGAATGATTTGATTTTCTCAAAAATAGAAACTGTTATATGATGAAATGTTATTAAATCTATATTAATACATTTTTAAATTACAAATCATTTTCTTTTCAATTGCATTTATCAGTTACATCATGATTTCGAAGATATAAATAATAATATCTTACCTCTATAATAATGAATAATTATATAAAAATAACTATTTTTATTTTATTGCGAATACAATTTCTAATAATTATAAAAACGATATTATGCAACATAATAACTTTTTTTTTATTTTTTCTTTTAAAAAAAATGAAAAATTATTTATACATATAAGATTATACATTTACTTTATATTAATCTATTTGCCACGAAAATATAAATATCACTTTTTTATAATTATTATTTATTAAAAGCTTTATTATTCAATTTTATTTATAATCGAAACATTCATAGAAAATTAGAAAAACATATATTTAAAAAATATTTTAGTTATTTTCATTTAAAAACTGTTCTCGTGCAGATACGGCAAGCTTCTCGTCTTTAAAGAAGAGTTTCATATCTTTCTACTCAATGGGATGTTTGATTTTGCATCACTTTCAAACGAGACTTCCTAGTCAGGGAGCAAGAAAGCTTCTTCTTAAAAAAAGCTTAAGGTAAATTATCCTTAGGCGATCAGGTATAAAAGTCATGAAAACTTCTCTATGTCTATATAATTCTTTAAATGCAACCTCATTGTAAAGTATGTAGGAAGTATATTTATTTAATCATTGCAACGATAAATTGAATATTTTATTTATAATCTTTAACAGTAACATGATTGTGGTAAATAAGATGGGATCGTTTCAATAAAAATCCTAGAATTTAGATTAGAAACATTTAAAATTTAAAATCGACATTTAAAATCGATTACTTGGGAAATTGATTATAAGATTATACTTGGGAAAAATTGTTTCTCTTAACCATGCAAAATATTCGATTTCTATTATTAACATTCATATTCCATTATTTACTAATTTTTTTTTAATACAGCTCTTGGCCATTGAATTAAGATCATGCAACAATTTTAACTATTTTCTAACTAGAACATCCATAAATGATTTTTGAAAATCAATTTTTTATTCTTTCTATTAATTCTTTCTTCTTCTTTTTGTCGATATATATATATAATGATTCTAAAAAATATTAGTGTATTCTTTAAAATACAACTTTTTTAAAATTGAATATAATAATACATTAAATTTTTTTAGAAACATTAGAAAAATTTAAAATAGAAAATATTGATTTCTTTTTTATTGCCAACTTTTTTTATCTAATTTTTTAACGAAAATTTAAAAAATAGATTTTTTAGATTTATATCAGTTATACATATATATATATTATATATATATATATAATATATATATATATATATATATTATATATTAACGTAGAAACAACGAAAAGACAATAAGTCGCGAATTTATATGTGTTATGTTTCTTAAAATAAAAGAAATTTAAAATAAAAATAATTATATAAATAAAATTTCAAGTTTCAAATTTCAAGTATCAATTGATTGTGAGTTATTGATTAAAACGAGAAGATATAACTATTTGGCCATGAATGAAACCATAAGTTAAAACTATATTTTAATTAATTTTTTTATATATTTTAATTAATATTTTCATATGTGATTTTTGCTTTTGTAATCAGTGATTAGACAATATTACTTAAACAATTATTAAGTATAATGTTTGTAAAAACATGTCAAATATAATAAATGTTAGTTATCGATTATTTGTACGAAATATCCGATATTTTCTAAGTAATGTTTCATTTTATTTTTGCAAAAATATATATTTTTAAATAAATTCTCAATATATAAATAGAAATAATACCTAATTCTTCTTTTAACATGCAATTTATTATTTTATAATTATGATTAAAAAAAAATCGTTCGGATAACGGATAAGATTCTGAGAGATCACTAGCAATATTTTTATTCATTAATGGCTGAAATCTTATATAAAAACGCTCGTTGTCCTTTATTTTAATTCAAAAATTCAAAGATTTGTAATCTATTCAACGAGACAATGGTATTCAGTTTTAAACATGCATAATAACGGATATAATAATTAGACACAACAAAAATGTATCTTTTTGTGAAATCTTTAGATGAATTATAATCAGCAATATTTCTATTATATTCTATTATATATATCTTTAATATGGGATTATTTATTATGAATACGAATATAATATAATAAATATGAATATAGATAAAAATACAAAAAACAAGAAATGAACAGAAAATATATGTTTTACGAAATAATATAAATCAGATTCTGGAATCAACAACGACTAGCGTATAATCGTAATAATCAATAAATACGGCCGTTATTTCTTTTGCATATTTTAACATGCTTTAGTATATATTTTATTTATAGTTGGTACTTCGAATGTACTTGTTGAATGTATCGTACAGTCTTTTGGCACATAATAAATGTCAAATAATAATATC